TCAATCCCCGCTGGTTTTTACAGCCAGAGTGATGGGGACTTCTCTTTCTAGCACTGGAACCTGGGCTGTGGGGCCGGGTATGGGGTTGGGACTCCTTGATCCTCGGGGGATACCTTTGCAGCTGAGACATTTCTCCCAATTTTTATCTGCCACATGTATATTACAAATAATTTAGGGTGGGGAGTATTTGAGAGGGCTGTAGTGAGATCAGTTAGAGAGTTGATATAATAGTCCAGCAAAGGGATTATTATCCTTAGGTGGTGGCAATGAAGAAAAGAACATTAGGCACAACATGTAGAATAGAATAGTATAAGTGATGTTGATGAGTTTGGCCATGGAAAAATAAATACAATATAGACATTGACATTTATTTTGCTTTTTTGTTTGTGTGCTTGTTATATATTTTTTTTATTTCTTTAATTATATAGTTGCCATGAGCTGAGTTGTGAAACAATGAAGAGAAGCATGCTTGAGGCTAAGATTATGAGCCTGAGTTTAGTTCTGTTGAATCTGAGATGCTGTTGCAAGATTCAAGTAGAAATATCAAGTAGGCAGTTGAAAATAAAGTTGGCTATATAAATGTCTGAATCGTTATTTTATAAGAGCAACTGAAGCCCACACAAAGAGTGGGCACAATCATGCAGGGGGCATATAGTGTAAAAAGAGAAGAGTGACTATAATTGAGATGTGAGGATCCCCTAACTTTAATGGCCAGATGGAGGAAAAGGGACCATCAAACAATTTAAAAAAGAAATAGCCAGAGAAGTGGGGGTGAGGGGGATAAGAGTGTGGTGATTCTGTGAATAAATAGTAAATTATAAAAAAGGCAGCAGTGGGAAACAATCTTTAATACTGTTCCAGAGAATCACATCCCTCCCTCGCTGATGGGAGGGGGTTCTCCAGGTGCAGTTGGAATAAGCATATTCAGAGGCCCCAGTGGGAGGACCAAAGGTGGTAGAAGACTTTATTTACATTCCTCGGTTTCCATGTCCCATTTCTCCCAAGCCACTCCTGGAAGAGGGATAGCTGGGGCTTTAGCAAAGTTAAAAACAAAGCCAGAGTCCAGAGTTTCCATTCCATGATGCAGCTATGTCCAGATTAGGATTAGTCCAGACTCAGTCCATTAATCTATTGCATGGGTCCCACATGGCTGCGAGCCACATGGCAGGTGCAAGGCATGGGAGCCCCACAAGCCAGGAGTCTGGCTCGAGCAGCAAGAGAGAGCAAGAGAGAGCTTTGTTTAGGAGATTAAATATTCAGGTTTCTCTAGCTGGCAGTGGCCATGCCTATTCTGGCCACTGACATACTCCTGGGTATGACAGACAGATAGACACCTCCTAAGACAGGTAGGCACCTCCCACATCACTCAGACATCACTGGGCATGCATCAGAATTACCTTTGTCCAGGTTCTTCTGCCACCTATAAGCAGAAAACACACCTAGAGTGTTAATTGCAAACTTCCTGGTAAAGCTGTACAAATGGTATGCTTATCTTCTCTGGTCTTCCCTATATTCCTTTCCTGTTAAATAATAACCAGGTTATTGCGCCCATATCAATACCACTGAGAATCCAAGTAATACCAGGTTTAAAAATAAGAAATGAGCCTGGCTGGTGTAGCTGAGTGCAAAAGGCATTGTCCCATGAACTGAGAGGTCCCAGTTTGATTCCCGGTTGGGGTACATGCCCAGGTTGCTGGCTCAATCCCCAATGGGGGACATGCAGGAAGCAGCCAGTTGATGTATCTCTCTCACATCCATGTTTCTCTCTCTCACTCTCTCTCTAAAAATCAATAAGAACTTATTTAATAAATAAATAAATAAATAAATAAGAAAGAAATGAGCCTGGCTGCTGTGGCTCAGTAGTTGAGTATCAACCCATGGACCAAGACGTCACTGGTTTGATTCCCAGTCAGGGCACATGCCCAGACTGTGGACCCAATCCCCAGTGCAGGACATACAGAAGGTGGCCATTTGATATTCTCTCTCATCAATGTCCTCTCTCTAAAATCAATTAAAAAATTATTTAAAAAATAAAAAATGAATTGTGTAGCACAATTGTGTTTAAGAACTTTATTTAAAAAGGTTTCACTGGAACAATTGAGGTTGAATGACCAAATGAAGTGCATTGAGAAGAAAGTAAAAAAATCAGAGAATGATGATGAGTATATATAATTCTTTAAGAAATGTGACTCTGAAGACTACACTTTCAGGGCTCATTTCTATAGTTTGTTAAGAAATGTGACTCTGGCCTGGCCAACCTCAGTGGTTAGAATGTTGGCCCTTGGACAAAAGTCCAGTCCAGGGTTCGATTCCTGGTCAAGAGCATGTACCTGGGTTGTAGGTTCCATCCCCAGTCACGGTCATGGTGTCCTGCAGGAGGCAACCAGTTGACCAATTGATGTGTTTTTCTTATATTGATGTTTCTCTCCTTACCGCCCCTTCCACTCTGTCTAAAAAATCAATGGAAAAATATCCTTGGGTGAGGATTAACAACAACAACAAAAAATGTGACTCCGAAGGAGAGTAATGTGTAGGTGCTGAAGGGATTGTTTAGATGATGAAGTAAAAGATCTAGTTAGTAGGATCAAAGGAAGAGAAGGGATAATGGAAAGTATACATTGCCTAAAAAGACTGAATGAGTTCCAAAACATTGCTATAAGGATTGGCCTCAGAGTAAGAGAAATACTTTCTTTTATGTATTAGTGGATATATTAGTGAATATGTATTTATGTGTTTGGTAGTTTAAAGTTCAATATGTCTTATTTAAGGATTTCACTTTCTCAGCAATATGGTTGTCTGTTAATCATATGAGCTGAGAATAAGTTGGGAGATTTGACTAAGGTGGCAATTGTTTGAAATTGTTAATAGAACAACCAATGGACAAGAATGTCCTTGAAAGGCTGCTGAGCAGTATAGAAGGTCCATTTGGGGTTTGTGATCAGAAATCTATACTATATTGAATCTACTTTGTTGAATGACCTTCTGCTAAGAAGTTTGGAGGCAGTTATGGAGAAAGTAGATAGACATGTCCTACCAGGCTGTGGATGCAATGGAAAAAACTCACAAATTCAAGGAACTTGATATTTTTGCAAAATTATTGAAATTATAAAGTATGAAATCTAAAATGGTCAATAAAGAAAGAAAAAAAAGGGTTGATCTGGAAAAAATTAGAGTTCTTAGGAGATGAGTTTTAAAAATTGTCACAATATGCTTGAATTAGTGATATTCAGGGGAACCATATCCCTTCCTGGTGATGACAAGATCTAGACTATAACTGTGTGAGCACAAGATCTGTACAGTGGAGGAGCAAATGGTAGCTACATAATCTCATCGATTCCTGCAATGCCAACTCTCACTGTTTTAGTCTAATCTATGTATGTCTCTGACTAAAGAATCACAAACAGACTTACTAATTTTATTGTTTCCTCAAGTTTATCATTACGTATTTAGTTTACTCATTATATAAATGATGACTTTTTGAAAACCAGATGTAACTAGGAGCCGGGAGACTGAATTTTAATTTTTCTTGTGTCACTGTTTAGCTACATGATCTTGAACAAGTTATATTTTCCTCAGCTATAGAGTTCATTCATTGAAGAGGATCATGTTGTAGGACCTTTCCAGCTTAGAACAGTGTGATTCTTTCTAAGCTCTGTGCATCCCTCTTGCCTTAGAGATGTTCTGCCCATATATCAAACTCAGCATAACAAAAAATGAACTAGTTTTATTTTTTCTTGAAGGATTCAAAACTGCAAAATCATCTTTGTTTTTGTCATGTTCCTGAACTTCATCCAATTTTTAATTGAATGCTAAGCTCTGTTGATTTGCACTTTACAAATTCTCTTACATCTTTATTGTTCTTACTATGACTACTGAGATTATCTAATTCCTGGACTACTGCAATTGAAAATGAATCTCTTTTCTTGAATCCACTGTCTGTTTTTATAACTGTCATTCTCAATCTTCTTAAAGCACAAGGTATGGCCCAGTCTTCTTAAGACAACATGTTGATTCTTTCATTTGCATACACAAAAATATTGAGACTGTATTCCTTTTAGGATAATTTTGAAAAGCCTTAGCTTGACAATGAAGAACTGCCATGCAACCAGCAAAAGTGATCATTTCTTTCTTAGAATTTTAGTAGTAGCTTTTACTAACTTACATTAAGAAAAAGATAAATATATCAACAAGATGTTCCTTCTCAGTTAAGCTACAGTGATCTTTATATTTCAAATTGAACCCTTTGCCCACAGTCCCTGGTCTTCCCTACTTCCATTCCTTGCTTAATATGTCTCCTAAGTACTGAGCACCATCTAACAGACTCTATATTTTATGTATTATTCTCTTTATACTTTATATTTATATTCTTAATCAGTATATTATCAATTACTTGAGGGCAAGAGATGTTTGTCTGTTTTGTTTACTATATCCCTAATGTATTGTCACTGTCTGACACAGAGTAGACGGTCAATATATTTTTGTTAAAGGAATAAATAAATAGGTAAATAAAAACATTTTTATCTAAATTATGAATTATTGTGTTTCATCTAGTATAATGCTTTATATAACAAAATTAAGTGGTGACATTTTATATTTTAAAAAGTCTTGATTATTTTGGAAATGTTATAACACTATACATATTGTTCCTCTGTGGACAGTTTTCTGCTTTGGAACAATTTTCAACTTAACTTATTCAGGTTTACAATAATTCTTGATTTCCAAGTGGTTTTTACTAATATTGCTTTGAGGAAAACTTGTTAGATCAACTTTATTGGAAAAGTAATAGGATGAGAATTCTACTTGCTAAAGTTAGTTTGTAATTTATAGATTGATTCTTTAATAGGACAAGAAAGTCTTAATGTAGTGAATTGGGAAAACACAAGCAACCAATTAGAAAGCTTAGTATTTATGATGATGTTTTGTGTTACTAAAGAACAGTAGACTAACTAAATATAAAGTTATTTATGATTACTACCTTTTAAATTTTATCTACAATAAAGGACCAAGTTTTCATCATTGACTCCAAGTGTGAATCTGGAAAAGGACGCTGCTCTTTCAACCCCAATGTGAACACAGTATCTGTGATGATCAGTAAGTGGAAAATAAAAGAGGAAGGGGGGAGTAAAAGTAAAAAAGGAAACTGAGAGAAAATAATTCATGACATGGTATACCCATTTTTTTTTTTTTTAAATCTTCATCCGAGGACATTCCTGCATTTATCTTCAGATAGAGTGGGAGGGAGAGAGGGAGGAATAGAGAAAGAAACATCGATGTGAAAGAGACACATCGACTGGTTGCCACCCCCACAACCCCAACTGGGGCCGGGGACAAACTGCAACCCAGGTACATGCCCTTAGTGGGAACTGAACCCGGCATTCTCTGGTCCACAGGCCGACGCTCCAACTGCTGAGCCAAACCGGCCAGGGCAGTATACCCATTTTTGATAATTGCATGGATGATAATATATGAGTAAAATAATAGGAAAAAAAGTGTGTGCTGAGAAATAGAAATTCTAGTCTCTAATTTTCAAGAATATTCAGGATAAGTATGTATTTTTCATCTAACATGACAGTGCTGTCATTCCTAGAGCAAGTCAACAATTTCCAGAAAGCATGTATATGTATATTAATATATATTATAATTTTCAATGTTTTCTGTAGTTATTTTTTTAGTATTAAATATACTCACTTTTTCTCATATTTTAATAATATTTTGCAAATGATTAAAAATGATGTTACTCTCTGATGAAAGACTAACAAAGTATGTGAGTTAGCCAAATATATTCTCTATGGATTGTCTAGAAGTTGCAATTCTAAAAAGTCACTTTCTCATTTTCCACAAAATATATCAGTTAAGAAGCAGGCCCAATTGCTTTGGCTACATACATTGCCAAATCAATGTCTTTCAGTCTCAATCATCAAATGTCTTTCTGTAACTCACTTAAAAGACATTTCTTTCCAGTTAAGGCACTTCTAGAATATGTCTGGTTTAACATGACTTAACTATGGGGACAAACCTGAGATTCCAATGTCAACTATACAGTATATGTTTTTTTCCTTTTTGTTTTCTTTACATATTTTCAATAGTAAGATTATATCATTTGACAAGAGAACAGTTGGAAAAATAATTATTGTGGTCAAAATACTGTGCTTTGGTTCACTTAAATAGGCAACCCATCTTTTTCTCTCATATCTGTAAACAAATTAAGACAGGTACATCTAGCACTGACGAAAATGTGATCTTGGAAGTTATCCAGTGAATTATTTCCATATGGCCATTCAAACTGGGCAATGAGGAAATTTAAGTATATCATTAGGGCAAAAAAATTAGAAAACTTTGAGACTACATGATATCTAAATAAGTCTGATGTTTCTAAATATTATTTAACAGGAGCAGTGTTTTAGAAAGTCTTTTTCATTAGGAAGAAAATTATATTCACCTTTAGAAATTCTAATATATATGTGGTATCCCTCAAAAATGTATACACAAAATAATGTAATTATAAAGCCAGTGTTTATTAAAATATATTTCATTTTCAAAATGTGATAGAATCTACAGACACCTGTATACAGTTTTTTGGGACACCCTGTACATATCCTAGTTCAATATATAGTTTTCATTTATTTCAAGTTCAATGCTTCGAAAATAAACATTAATGATTAGTTAACACTAATACTGTAGTTTTATCTCATCAAATATTATTAAAACGATAACAGTTATAATGAGGCATTATGAATCTTAGTGTTAATCTGTGATAAGCCATTTAACAGTTTTGCCTTTAGAGAATTGGATTTTTAAAAAAATTGAATGTAGTTAATGGCCTCCATTTTTTTAAGGACCTAAGACTTCAATTCCAATGCTCATGTTTCTATACTACTTTTTAATATTTTGATTAACATTATAATGTATACGTCACTGAAAGTGATTAAACAGTTTACTTAAAAACTGAAAACAAGGTGAGCAGGAAGTTTATAAGCTTGTGTTTATCATTTTATTTGTTCGACTGGTTATTTATTCCTCTAAAGTTTCTCCAGTATCACCTCCAATATTGCAGAGTAGATGTGTGTGGCCGGCTCGCTTTGTCATATGGCGCTGTATCGTTTCTGTTCAGCTGCAATCCCCTGCATAAGGCAGGTTGGTTAAAATATTTCTATTGAAGTGCCAAGAAATATTGAGAATTTGAATTCCGAATTTCACAACGCAGTTGTGGCATCCATCCAAATGTGTATGTTTAGTGTTCTTTGGCTATTTTTTACGTGCTGTAAAAATGCTGCTTTGTATTATGTACTTCAATTTGTTACTGATTCAGTACACAAACATTCCTTTTTGTTCTTTTTTTATAATTTTTATTTTATTTTATTGACTTTAGAGAGAGAGGAAGGGAGAAAGAGCGAGAGATAGAAGCATCGATGAGAGAGAACATTGGCCGCCTCCTGTGTGACCCCCCACTGGAGATCAGGCCCACAACGTGGGCATGTGCCCTGACTGGGAATCAAACCAGCAACCTCTTGGTGCAGGGGTCAACGCTCAACCACTGAGCCACACTGGCTGGGCCCTTTTGTGCTGTTTTTTTGTTTTTTTTAAATTATCATTATTTGTTGAAAGCATTACAGATGCCCCGACTTTCCCCATCTACCGCACTACTCCCACCCACCCCTTCATGCACTGTTTTTAGTGTTGTAACACAATAAAGAAGTCAGATGATATATTTTAAAGAACCTACCAAAAACCCCATGAGGTTTTTCTGGTCAGTGGAATTACAATAGGAAAGCAAAATATTTTTGGATTGAAGTCAAAAGGTACAAGTTTCATAAATCCTACAAAGAAATTTTATATAAAATACCCTATTCTCAAAATTCTGCCCCCAAGTGACATTAATTATTTCTTATATAAAATAAAACAAACACTTTAATATTCCTAATTATTGAGAATTTAAGACAGGAAATGAAGTCAGTCAGACATATAGGCTTTTGTAATGTTTAAGACATAGCTAATAAGGTGGTGTGCAGTAGGGTTAGAATCTGCCCGCTAGGTACACCATCCTCCAGTATCCTTTATTCTTTTCTTCCTGGATACAGTTGTGATCACGGATAGCTGTGCTAGTCAATCTGGTAAATAACAGGATTTTATAACCCACCGTTTTGGGGGTAACTGGGTATAGCTAAAGTATGACATAATTAATTACTAAGTTATTTCAATTTAACAATCCTTTTATCTACAGAATACTTGTGTAGATGCCTCATAAATGTCCACAGAATGTTAAAGAAACTAAACTCCTCAAAATACTTTCATGCACATTTTTGTTCTCTCTCTATAATCTGTCCCCCGGGCTTTAGACCCCTACGAGGAAGCAGAGTTGGGAGACACAATACCTGCCATACCAATTGCTAACTTGTAGGGGTCCGGTTCATGACCTGGTGAGCACATATTAAAAACATTCCACTCTTCATTCTATCCTGGGCCAGTTGGTATTGCTTGTTACTAAACAGTGAGCTTAGAGTGCTTCAGAATGTTCCAGTCCTGCCAAAATGACCACAGTCTGAAAGTAGTCAGGGAGTAATTCTAGAACATTAGTCCAAGAACACAGCTGCATGGTGGTTTAGTGGGACAGACCTGATAATTTTTATTCTTTTTAAAAGAGATATTTAACTACTGTTTTGTACTCATAGGTCACACATATTCATTCAATACTTATTCTCTTTATTAGCATCAAAATTAATATGGATAAACTAAATGTTAAATGTTATGTATATACAGATTAAAGTGTCTGTTTTTGCCATCAATAATGATAATTTAATTTAATTTTAAAATATCTTTTCTTTCTTGTCTCTGCGTTCTGTTTTTTATGGCTTAGTATATTAATCCATATATGGCTTGTTAACATAATATTATATTATTAACATAATGTTAATACATTGTTTTGCAAATAAAAATGTAGCACTTTGTTTACCTTATAGAAACTTCTAGCACTAAAAATCAAAATGTATACTTTTAACAATGAAATTATTATACAGTTAATTATATTTGGATCATTTTTAATGTCACCTCTATGTTAATAATAATAATAATAATAATAATAATAATAATTTCAGTTAACTTAATAAAATAATAGAATTTTTAATATTTGGCTAGAACTTTTGAGATCCATAATTCAATTCCCACATTTTACAGATGAAAAGATTGAGATTTAAACTTTGTCCTAATTCCCAATTTGTTAACTACTGCAAAAATAGAAAGCAAGTTTTCTGACTATTTTTATTAAAGTAATAATTAAGCCACTTTGGTATCTTTTATACATATATTATTTCTGCCATTTCTGCTACATACTACATAAACATACTGCATTCTATACAGGCTGAGGACTTTTTATTTCTTTGTAGAATGAAGTTATTTTGGTAATCATACAATCAATAATAAGATCAGATTAAATTTTATCCAATTTTGATTTGGTGGTCAATGTAAACCAATTAACAATTATAAACACTCTATAATATGTGTTGATCTAATTAAGAAAGTTTTTGATTTTTAAAATAGCCCTGAAAAACACAATTGTGTTGACAATTTCTTTTTCATAGATGAGGAACTTTTCTCTGGAATGTATATAGATTTCATGGGGACAGATGCTGCTATTTTTCGAAGTTTAACTAAGAGGAATGCAGTCAGAACTGATCAACACAATTCCAAATGGCTAAGTGGTAAGAAAAAATTTTATATATTTTTTAGAGTTATACTTTAGACTAATTTGTTTTATTCCATAATAAAAATTAGGTAAAAATGGTAAATAAATAAAATTACAGTTTCAGGTCATAAGTAGCAATAATTCTTTATGCTACTTTATGATTTTAAAAATTTAGGGTAAATAAATAATTTAAATAACCATATTCTAACTCTTTATTAACCATTATATAATTATCATAAGATATATGAATAAATAAAAATGACAGTGATATTCAGGTTGCACACAAGAATCTTCTCTGGTATTTAAGTGTAACATTATGATTAAATATGCTATTTATTCATTTAGACTGTTTGTATATTTTAATGTCAAAGCTAAAAATTATCGAAATTTATGATATAAAATAAATAGGGTATATTAAGAAACTTATATTTGCTTTATACTTAGATTCTAAATTATAAAACTGGTATATATTATTGTTTTATAATTTGACTAATGCTTAATAGAAATCATAGGTATGATAATTTTATGATTGTCAGTATTCAGCTGCTTCCAATTCTTGGGATCACATGGAATTCACATCATGAAAGGTGCTCATTTGACTTTAATGCACAATTTCAATTAGTTGCTGTTGTTTAGAGGGGGATGAAATCACTAAGGTCTTTGTCATTTCACCCTGGGGAAAATTTCTAGGTCATCCTAAATTTGGCAATTCACTTAACATTGCACAGTTAAGCATGAATCACCACAGTAAAGCATCGTTTTTCACTGATAGGCCAGCACAAGAAAGCATTGATTGTCCATTTGCTTTTTCAAATTATTCCTCTAGTACATCTGGAAATAGAGTATCCTAAAAGTTGTTTTGCTCTTGAAATAAGAAATCTCTCTATGTCTTTAAATGACATAATTTATTCCTTGAAAAATTTCCCCTTTTTTTCGTACACTGTATTTTAAGAAAAATGTGTTTTTCAGATCTTGGACCCCCAACTCCCTATTCTGCTTCAGTGAACTTGAGTTCACATGCACAAGATTGAAAACCACACTTTGGAAAACATTTTTTCCCCCCAAATGACTGTCAGATTCCAAGGGAAATAACTGGTAGAAAAGTTTTTTAATTTTTAAAAAACACATTAATGCACAAATAGTTTTTTTTTTCAATATACTCAATTTCCAAAATGTATTACAGACAGAGAAAAATAATTTGAGCTATCATAACTATATTTTGTGGCACTTGTCATTCCAAATGCAGTATGTTGACAGAATACAATAACTGCTTTTAGACATTTTGCCTTTGAACATTGTATTACTTTTTACACCAAAGATGGAGAATGACACACACACACACACACGAGAGAGAGAGAGAGAGAGAGAGAGAGAGAGAGAGAGAGAGAGAGAGTCAGAGTCTTTGCAATTCTTTTCAGAACCGATGTTTGTGGATGCACATGTCATCCCAGATGGAACTGATCCAAATGATGCTAAGATTTACTTCTTCTTCAAAGAGAAACTGACTGACAATAGCAGAAGCACAAAGCAGATTCATTCCATGATTGCTAGAATATGTCCTGTAAGTATTAATGTTGTTTTTAATTCAGTTAAACTTAAAAATAAACAAACAAAAACAATTTACCCATTTTAACCATTTCTTCACTCCTCACCCTGTCTCTTGCAACCACCGATCTGTTCTTGTATCTATGAGCTGTTTTATTGTTTTTGTTTAGATCCCACATAGACGAGAGATTTCATTTAGCATGATGCCCGTCCACATTATTGCAAACAATACAATTTTATTCATTTTTTATGGCTGAATAGTATTCCAAATGTGTGTGTGTGTGTGTGTGTGTGTGTGTGTGTGTGTGTGTATACACATATCACATTTCTTTATTCATTCATTTTTTTTTTTTGATGGACACTGAGGTTATTTCATTATGTTGGCTATTATAAATAATGTTGCAATGAATGTGGGGTGCAAATATCTTTTTAAATTAGTGTTTTTATATAAATACTGGAAGTGGAATTGGTGGATCATGTGATGATTCTATTTTTAATTTTTTGAGGAACCTTCATACTGTTTTCCATAGCGGTTACAACCAGTTGTATTCCCACCAACAGTGCATAAGGGTTCTCTTTTCTCTATAGCCTTGCCAACACTTTTTATTTCTTATCTTTTTAATAGTAGCTTTTCTAACAGGTATGAAGTGACATCTCATTGTGGTTTTGATCTGCATTTTCCTGATGATTGGCAATGTTGTGTATCTTTTCATGTACCTGTTGGCCATTTATATGTCTATGTCTCTTTGATAAAATATTTATTTAGATCTTCTGCCCATTTTTAATGAATTTTTTTTTTTTGCTATTGAGTTGTATGAGTTCTTTATAGATTTTGGATATTGTCCTCTTATCAGATATTTGATTTACAATTATTTTTTTTTTCCCATTCAAAAGGTTGGTTGTTTTCATTGCTGTGTGAAACTGTTTTAGTTTGAGGTTGTTTCACTTGTTACTTTTTGCTTTTGTCACTTTGCTTTTGGTGTCAAGATCAAAAACTTATTGCCAAGACCTATGTCAAGGAGCTTGCCACTTGTTTTCTTCTGGGAGTTTTATGGTTCCCAGCCTTACATTCAAGTCTTTAACTCATTTTGAGTTAACTTTTTCTGTATGGTGTAGGAAAATGGTCCAGTTCCTCCCTCCTTCCCTCCCTCCCTCCCTCCCTCCCCCTTCCTTCCTTCCTTCCTTCCTTCCTTCCTTCCTTCCTTCCTTCCTTCCTTCCTCCCTCCCTCCCTCCCTCCCTCCCTCCCTCCCTCCCTCCCTCCTTCCTTCCTTCCTTCCTTCCTTCCTTCCTTCCTTCCTTCCTTCCTTCCTTCCTTTTTTAGCATGTGGCTGTTCAATTTTTCCATCATTTATTGAAGAAACTATTTTTTCCCATTTTATATTTTTGGCTCCTCTGTCATAAATTAATTGGCCATATATGCATGGGTTTATTTCTGGGCTCTTTATTCTGTTCCATTGATCTATGTGTCTATTTTATGCCAGTACCATATGGTTTTGATTATTATAGCTTGGAATCTAGGAGTGTGATACCTCCAGCTTTGTTTTAGTCTCTCAAGATTACTTTGGCTATTCTAATTAGAAGAAAGCCTAAAAATTCAAATTATATAATATTTTTTCTTTTTCTAATAGTTTACCTTTCTACTTTAATCATCTACTGTTATAAATTAATAAACCATTGATAAGAGACATTTGAACTTTATGTTTATTCACATCAGTCATAAACAAACATACTATTTCAACATAAAGCTTAATTCCATGAAATATTTGAGTTGTGGGTTTATATAAATGCACAATTTTGATTAATTTTTGCTTTTCCATTTAATGTATTAATACTAAAAACAAATAGTGAAATTGTATATTACAGAAAGAAAGAGAACAATTCTTGTGAACAAATATAGCAAAACCTTACTAAAAGATGGCTATGAGGAACTACCTACAACAGCAAATACTAAGAAATGCTTTAATAAAATACAGTTTTAATTATAAACTATAATCAAAATATTCTTGTGTCTAAATAGTAAGTATACACAGTAGCTCAAGAAACTCATGATGTCCACTCATATAGGAGTTTACAGGTTTGTCCTGACATTTATGATTCTTTTCTTAAAGCATTTGGTGTTTCAGTACGAGGGTATTCCCCTGATGGTGGAGCTCACCTGCTTCTGGGCAGTAAGCCAGCAGAAGGAAGGAGAGGCTTCTGGGCATACAGACCAAAAAAAAAAAAAAATGTTATCAATAGAGACTATTTGTGAGTGATTCCAATGCTATTTCTCCTGCCGTGGGTGAAGAAATACATATATTAAAGCATCCGATTAGAAATACTAAGGAGTAAAGGGTAACAGAGAAATGAAGGAGAAAAACTAGAACTATTGGGGGTCATTTGGTGTTAAGTATAAATCAACCCTCCTGACCACAGTAGAATCTGTAAACTTCACTGTGTACAATAATGTTCATACTGAATACAACGAATTATAAAGGCAAATTAAATTATATATGTTCTGTAACATTTTAAAGATATTTACATCATTTATTGTTAAGTTGATAAAGCTTTAAGGAATATATTCATTAAATTCATTTTTTTTGAAACATTTTCAGTTGACACCATACTGTAGCAGAATAATAGTATATAACCTTTGGCTATTTTATAACATACTAGATATCTTAAATATTACTCTCTAACCTGACATTCACATGTGGTTAATAAAGCCATCCTTCAGATTATAATACATCCCCAAGTTATAAGAATCCATGCTGAATTTTTAGTAGACTTCAGCATTTATTTAAGTAATCTGAACTGTGTGTACAAAACTGTTTCAGAATGACACGGGTGGACTGCGGAGCCTTGTCAACAAGTGGACCACCTTCTTAAAGGCGAGGCTGGTGTGCTCCGTCACGGATGAAGATGGCCCAGAAACACACTTCGACGAATTAGGTACACAGATATGTATTTTAAAAAGGTTTGAAAGAGACTTTGTAAAGTTTATAAAATTCAATAAACTCTCAGAAGAGGATATATTTTACATGAATGTTTTTAGCATACACAATATGTCAATTTGAATTAATGAGCTAGATACTGTCAATAAATGTCCTTAAGTATTTTTAAATGTTTTGTCTCTGAATGCACAGCTGAAACATTTAGTTCATTGAATTCACCATGACATTTGAATGAGAGAGAGATAGAAATACATGTAATACTTTATATATAAATCATGATGTTTCTACTTTTCTAAAACGAATGTGTATTTCATATATATTTAAACTTAATATTCGGTTTTTAAATCAGTTTATGTGGCATACAGCTATATAATTTTCACTATTGCAATTAATGGACAGAATAGAGGTTAGATGAAAAAGTGTTAGAATAGAATTTAGACTTGTGCTCCAATCTTTGTTATTTTTGGTGACTCTGGGACAAAAGTTTTTCAGCGTGTGAGACATGAAGAAAGCCGTACTTCCCAGATTAAATGAAAACTAACAATCTGATTTCTTTAAAAAGAAACATTGTTCATTTTAATCATAATAACTTAGTATGCATTATAGTATACTAAATGTCATTTATAAATGACCTTTATTTTCTTTAGTTTATTGAAATGTAAAATGCTAGTTATTAGCTATAAATTTATTAATGTATTCAGATTTTGAGGCAGGGGATGAGGTAAACAATAACAATGTATAATAATACAAAAAAAGTTACTGCTTCTAACAGTTATAAAAACTGAAATAGATTGTTGGTCTCCTCAAAAGCCACTAGAAAAAGTTTTTAGGTCAGCTTTTCTAGAAAAAAAGTTCTAAGCATTATGTTGTATTATAGCCTAGTCATTTATTATTTTTCCCCAAATTCTTTACAAGTGTATTTATGTTTCAGTGACTTAGGATATTTTTCTTTCTTGTTTTTCAGAGTGATCTAAGAGTGTCAGCCTTTGTTCATTTATGGAAAAGCTAGTGATTATAATTTATTGCTTAGGAGGTCCTAAATTCATTGTGAATTGTATTCTGGTGTATAATTTAATGTTTACATGATTCTAGTTCATATTATATTCTATTGTGGCTTTTCCACTTAATATTATTTTATTAGCATGGTTTCCATAAGGTTGCAGTCTTCATAAATCCTGTTAGTGTTTGTATAACATTTTATTTAATTTACTTTACCATGTGGCTATCATTTTGTTCACTTAGTTGTTTTTAAATTGGAATGATGTTCGAATAATACTTTTCATAGTTGAGGTTATTTTCTTAGGGTAAAATTCTAAAAATACAGTTAATATTTGGGAACTTTAAAATAATAATATTTCTCTTTTATAGAGGATGTGTTTCTGCTTGAAAGTGATAACCCAAGAACAACACTAGTGTATGGCATTTTTACAACATCAAGGTAATTATTATTCAATTGTATTTTATGAGTTAAACAATAAACTGTATTGAGTAGTAGTAATTATTGATAAAGCATTCTTTTCAACTTTTTTTAAACATATTATTTTTTTAATTCTTACACAAGGACATATTTTACTGCTTTTGCAAAGAGAGGAAGGGAGGGAGGGAGGGAGGGAGAGAGAGAGAGAGAGGGAGAGAGAGAGAGAGAGAGAGAGAGACTGAAACATCGATGTGCAAGTGAACATTGATCAATTGCTTCCTGCACACACACCCACCAGGGATCTAACTCGAAACTTAGGGATGTGCCTTGACTGGGAATGGAACCCACAATCTTTTGGTGTATTGGGTGATGCCCCAATCAACTGAGCCACACCAGCCTGGGCTCTTTTCAACTTTTAATTTTGCATAGCATTTAGGATTTAACTTTTCTGTTTCATTACATTTGCTTTATTACCAAATATATTTAAGTTGAATGAAGGCTTTCAAAATAGTTTTGTATAGAGTATTCATAATGGTTATATGATATATGTCTAAAAGAAAGAAAAATATGAATTATAATACAGGAATAAAGTATATATGATATTTTGTTTTAAGGAAATAATTTGAAGACATGGTTCTGGTATTTCTATTAAATAACATTTATTTTCAGAGCAATCTAAAGTGATTACTATTTAGAAATTAACAAAACATAACGTTTTTATGTTTGATCTGACAGTATTTCATATATTTGAAAATATCTTTAATGTGTTCTAATTACTCTGGAATGCCTAATCCCAATGATAATATATTTAAAGACATTTGCCATATTCCCCCCATTTCCTGCACATAATAGGAATGTTACTCAGAATCCAATACAGTATTCCAGCTGTGACATGGTCACTGCAGAATGTAATAGGTCCCTTTCATTAGATAATGAACTGCAAAATGAAAATCTAAAGATTTTAGCATTTTTTCTAGTCGGGAAACATAGTATGATTTAAACTACAATGAGCTATTCAATGAAAAAGAAAATCACAGGGATATTTATTATATATCATGTTTACATTTGCCCTATAAGGAACCAAATTCTAACAAAGAAAATGTTTGTTTCAAAAAATATTTTTCTAGTTTTTCACATCACCAATAGCTTTAACATTAAAAAATTTAAATTGTCATTCCTGACTAATGGTTAATAATATACCTTGTTTTTTTCAATGGGCATCTAAGTTTTCATTGGCCATCTAAATTTTTCATTATGTATCTAATTTAAGAGAAATTTGTGAGTTGAAGAAATATTGGTTTCAGTCAATCTGCCTTTAGGGACAATGGAAATAGTTTTCATTAAGGATCCAAAAAATTTTATGGGATTTTACAAACTAAAGGTAATTTAATGAATCATTTTTTGCCCCCCCCCCCATTTTTTTCTGTGACTAACAGGGAAAGTCCATACATAATAAAAATTTAGACTTCTCCAATACTATTTATGATAACATGTAAGAACGCTCTCACGTTAAAAGTCAAGACAAAGAGATGTTGTGTTCTTTTATCAATGAGATTTGTTTCTGTCAGTTAAATTATAATAAGTTGTATTGATAGTGACTTATAATTCAAATTCATATTTTAAATCATCAAGTTGTTTTTTATTTCTAATATAAACTAGTTAAAACTTCTTTAACTTACACTATATTACAAAAACATTGAGAACTTTTCTATAACTTACTGTATATTACATTCATGAATGAATTAAATGTTTTAATGCTCTATATATGCTTTTTAGCTTTACAAAGTATACCATAAAATCGAACTTTTCCATGATAAATTTTATTAAGTTATCACAAACTTTGCCATCCATTTTTAAAATTGTATTATAATTAAAATAATGAGAAAATGGATCACTTTGTTTTCTTTTTTTTTTAGCTCAGTTTTTAAAGGATCAGCAGTGTGTGTGTATCATTTATCTGATATACAGACTGTGTTTAATGGTCCTTTTGCCCACAAAGAGGGGCCCAATCATCAGCTGATTTCCTATCAGGGTAGAATTCCATATCCTCGGCCTGGAACTGTAAGTATCCAAAAAAGTTTCTTTGTAATAACTTAATAAGAAAGGAATATCAATTTGATGGTTATTAAATACAACCATTAACCTACTTGTATATTCATTATAATTTTCAGGTCACAGCTTTCTAGATTTGGGATTTTCTAAATATGTTCTATATGTTATAGGACTCGCTACATTTGTGTCTAAGTGATACTGCTAATAAATATTATTTAGATTTCAAGGCCACTGGGCATGTTAGACAGGGCAGAGATATTTTCCTAATTATATTGGCATAAAAACCATAGCTTGGGAAGTGTTAATCTTTTGGTGGCAACCTAAGAATGTGGATGCTAGCTGCTTTTCACAACTCTTCCTTACAGTAAGGAATCTCATTTATTTTAGTGAAGAAATAACCATGTGAGAATGAATTTAGCGATAAATCATGTGGAGATATTTTAATTCTAAGGGGTATATTTATTTAAAAATTTATGTTGTTATTTCGCATAGAAAATGGTATGTGTGAGCAAATAATTACAAGGAAAATGATGTTACAATTCAAACAAGGTGTTTATAAACTATAAAGTTTTGAGGCAAATAAATCTATCTATGTCTTGCAATATTAGTGATATTAAAGGGTACATTGAAAACTAACTTTTTCAGGTGAAGTTATAGAGAGTACACTGGCAGATTGGAACTGAAATTTTTCTAGGGCAACAATGATCACAGTCCTATTTGTTTTTCATTTGACCCATAATAGTGCCGCCTTGCATTCTAGAATGCTGTTTCTGTCTTTGTAAAATACCATGTAGTGTACTGAGAGGAGATGTACATGGTACACAAATGACATTAAGAGGAATATAATTTTCTTATGTCTGTGCATTCATATAATGGGGTTAAAATGACAAAATAGAATGTATATAAGTAAAGAAGAGCAATTGAATAATTTCATGAAAAAAAATTAAAATGTAGTTAAAATAATAGTCACTTAAAATTTTTTTCCTTTGGATTTAAATATGAAGTTCTCTTTGCAAATATGCTTTCAGATATCCATCCCACATAATTTTTTTTACCAATTGTCAATCTACTTTGTTTTTGTGTTACTATTGGAGTATATTCACAATGTATGATTTACTCCCTTATTTCCTCATCACCTTAAATTGTACTGCTGTCAATTTTTTTTACAGTAGAAAAATAGTTTTCTGAGACTTTAAAGAATCTATTTATTGAAAAGGGCTGAAGTTTGGTTTCCTGTTAGGAAGCTGAAAGATTAATCATTGATGGGTATTGTATTAGCAAGTTAACTTTTAATTAACTCTGGAAAGATTATGAGCATTGCTACTTATCCTTGAAAAAATTAAATGTAAAAAACCATATTTAATCATGGATAGCAACTTAGTCCGATCATAGAAATCACAATCTCTTTCCAAATGGTCTCGTTATGATGCACGTAGCTCAACATAAGGCAGGAAAATAAAAACATTTCATAATTTTGTATAACATAAGAAACATAATTCAAGAGATATATTCATCTTAAGGTATGTCAATTCGGGGTGTGTTAAATTAAAAGTAGAGATGACATAAGAGAAGGGAAAGTGAAAGGGGAAAATGAGCAACTTTCAAATTCCATTGTAACTCGAAAGCTCTCATTCTTTCATTCAGTGTATTTGGTGCGTTTCCAGATGATTCACAGATAACATATTCAGAGAGATAAGTCATGTTTTTGAGAACTACTTGTTATTTGAAGTTGACCAAGTAATTGCTTCACCACAATACAGAAAAGTAAGAGGTGGTTGTGATTGCGTTTTTGGTTTCTTTGCTTTTAGATTTTATTGATTTTTTTTTTTTTTTAGAGAGAGGGAGAGAGAGAAAGAAACATCATTGTGAGAGAAATATCCATCAACTGCCTCCCACATGCACCCCAAGTGGAGATGAATCTGCAACCCCAGGCATGTGCCGTGACCGGGAATCAAACCTGCCACTTTCTGGTGCATGGGATAATGCTCCAGATAACTGAGTCACACAGGGCAGAGCTGATTGCATATACTGTTATTAATTACTCTTTGAACAACACAATATGGGATATAGTACAGGAACAATTGATTTGTAAACTCAACAAAATATAGTTTTCCCCAATAACACCTTAAGAGAAATCCCTTGAATAAATCAATAAAACGATCAAAGAAATCCACACTAAATGGATCAGAGTTCATGGCCACAGAGCCTCAACAAGTGTGTCCTGGAGCCAGCTCACCAGAGCAGATTGTGTGCAACTTGTCTCAAGTCAGGACATTGCCCTAATAACTTGAAATCAGCATAGTGGGAGTACTTACACCATGGGAATGGGCAAATATTACAAATCAGGGTTAGTTTTTTTTCCCTGAAGAAAAGCTCCTCTTTTCCCAATGCTCATCAGACTCTTCATCCAGATCAAAGGGACTCTGAGCATCACAGTAAGAGAACCACTCATGTCAGATAGCAACTATTCTATATAAAATATGGGAATAGACAATCCTTTTTAGTAAAACAATAAACCAATGCTAAACTAGAAAATTCTGCTAGCAGTCCCACGTTTTACTATTTCTAAGCTTCTAAGAACAAGCATTTTCTCTTCCATGTTCTAAAGCAGTGTGGAATAAGCCAGGGCTCAGCGACAAACACCTGGAGCTGAGTCCATGAAAAAAAAAAAAAAAAAAAAAAAAGGAGTAATCAGTACTCGAGACATATTTCTATAATGGGGTTTCTTACATCTGGTGCTGAGAAAGGAGCAGCTCCTTTAAATTAAAAAATAAATAAATAAGAAGTCAAATGAGTAATCCTTAGGGAATAAAAGAGCAGGGTGGAGAAATAACCTCTGGAACGCCTCTTAGAAAAGCATTCTTCCCTGAAGATTCGGTCTCTCCACCCTTTACTGAACAATGCACTATGAAGTCAGCTCTCTGACTCAGAGTGGCCAGTGTCTGTCTCTTCCCTGGGCTTCCAGGGTTTAATATCCCATTCATGTAGCCAGAAGACCTACAGCCAAGTGACCCAAAGCATTCCCTCTTCTCTGAGGTTAAGAATGTTGCCTCTGAAGTCCCCCTGGTGAAGGATCAGCTGTGATTGCCGTACTTTATTTCCCTACACAGTGGTCCAGTTGCCAGGTCAACCTCATAAAAAATGACCGGATTCTTAAAGAAATGACACTGGCAGAAATCGTATACCCTCATCGTAATGATCCCTGTAGGTGCTTCACTTAAAGCAAGATTGATAGTTGTGCTAGCAAACTGCCCCAACCAGCAAGTCTAAGTCAGTAGGAAGAAGCCTGCCAATTGTGTCATGATGTTTTTCCATAAGTAATTCAAGTCTGTGGAAGAAACAAGACACCTCTGGTATGTTGCAAAGGGCAGCCAAAGACTGCAGATTCTCTCTGTGGCTGAGCTAACATATTACATTATCCTGTTACAATGTGTATAAAGCTTCTGCAAAAGATTGTGTTTGCATGTACTGTCCTGTTAAAGCAGAACCTAATAAAAGTGTTCAGTTTTAATATCTGTTTATAAGTGGAGCAGAACCATCGACCTCAATCATATAGCTTTGAACAGGTCTGGTACCTGGTATAGCAAAAGAACACAGAAACTTCATAATCCACATAGTGCTGGCAAGAAAAACAGAATTTGATTACTAGCACTTTTGTTATTACATCCATCTTCCTATTCTTACATTAGAAGAATTTTAATGTCTCTGAGATGTTTGAAAATATTCACTTAGAGAAGTTTACAATAATATTAAACACATAAAGTACACAGACATGAAAAGTCAAATTGCATGTTGTTTCAGGTCATTCAAAATGCACGAGTAGTCCTGTTCAATGTGGCTTAGTTGGTTGGGTGTCATCCTATACATTGAAAGGTTGCTGGTCCAATGCCCTGTCAGGACACATGCCCAGGTTATGGGCTCGATTCCTGGTAGGGGGCATGCAGGAGGCAGTTGATGGATGTTTTTCTCTCACATAAATGTTTCTCTCTCTCCCCCTTCCCCTCTCTCTAAAAATTAATATTAAACACAAACACACACACACACACTCACACACACACACACACACACACACACACACAAATGCATGAATAGCCCTGGGTGGTATGGCTCAGTTGGTTGGAGCATCATCCCATGCACCAGATGGTCATGGGTCCGATTCCCAGCCAGGGCACATACCCATGTTGTGGGTTCTATCCCTGGTCAGGGTGCTTATGAGAGGCAATTGATCATTATTTCTCTCTCACATCAATGTCTCTCTCTCTTCCTTGCTCTCTCTAAAATCAATAAAAATCATATCCTTGGATGAGGATTGTAAAAATGAAACAAAACAAACCAAAACAAAACAAAAAAAAATGCATTAATAAAATAGACAATAAATATTTGAGTCTGGAGGAGAGATTGTTGTCCATCAGCCCTGTTTGTAAAGGCATATAAAAAATATGAGATTTAGTTGGTCCTGAAGGGCATTGGTGTTCTTAAGTTGGATAGGCAAGAAAGTGTGTTTCAGGCAAAGGTCACAGTACACATTACAAAAAAGAAATGAGTCCTAGAAGCGCTGCTTGGCCTAGCTGGACTAGAGCAGAGGGCTCTTACAGTAGTGGGGGGAATGTGAGGAAGAAGAGGGCCAGCTGGTGCACAAGTACAAGACTTCAACTATGTAATTGGGCTTTAAATAAAGCGTCTGCAATCAGAGAAAGACAAATATTACATGATCTCACTTATTTGTGGACTATAATGAACGAAATAAGCTGATAAACATAATAGACCTGGCCCTGGCCGGTTTGGCTCAGTGGTTAGAGCGCCCGCCTGCGGTCCGGAGAGACCTGGGTTCGGTTCCCGCTAAGGGCATGTACCTTGGTTGCAGTTTGTCCCCGGCCCTGGTTGGTTGTGCGGGTGGCAGCCACTCGATGTGTCCCTTTCACATCAATGTTTCTCTCTCTCTCTCTTCCTCTCTCTCCCTCCCACTCTGTACAAAAAATGGAAAAATGTCCTCGGGTGAGGATAAAAAAAAACAAACAAACAAAAAACATAATAGACCTGGAGACAGAGGTAGGGTTCAGACTGACAAACCTCAGAGGAGAGGGGGTGGGGGAGGGGGAAGAGATAAACCAAAGACTTATATGCATATGTGCATAACCAATGGACAACCACAATGCTATGAGTGGGCGGGGCGGGACCAGGAGGTGGTGTCAATGGGAGAAAAAGAGAAACATCTGTAACAAAAATAATGAATAAAAATAAATAAATTAAAAATAAATAAAGGGCCTAGATTACCAAGGGTCTAAACATAAGACTGTCTCCTCAGAATACGAGTTTCATAGACCAGTGCTAGAAACTGGACCAGATTCTGGAATGGCATTAAGTCCATCTGTACATTAGCACTCATCTTTCAAGTGTTCAGTCAAGCTCCCCTTGACCATGCCAGCTACTCCTTCTCTGACTAGTTTTGCATTTATTTTCTGCTGTTTCAGCCTCAGATGTTACCTCTTTCTTCCACTTTGTGTTCTATGATTCAACAATGCCCCAGGAATTATAATTCTCTAAATACTCCAAACTTTGTTTACTTATCTCTAAACCAATTCACTGACTCTGGTAGCCTTAAGTTCTCCACTATTCTAAGTTGATTTAAAAAATATTGACTCTTTTTTTTCTTTATTGATTTTTAGAGAGGAAGGGAGAGGGAGAGAGAAATAGTAACATCGATGAGTGAAAACATCGATTGGCTGCCTCCTGCACACCCCCCACTGGGGATTTGGCCCACAACTTGGGCATGTGCCCTGAACCGGAATTGAACCCACAACTTCTTGGTGCATGGGTTGACACTCAACCACTGAGCCACCCTGGCTGGGGAAAAATATTGACTCTTAAACATATATGACAACTGATTATGAAGCTCTGTTATTTATTTTATATTTGTCTTAAATTATTATATATGTCTTGTTATTTTGCTTTGACTGTGTCTTTCTTACCGCAATACTTGTGTCCAGAAGACAGGTGTGTAGCTTTTTATTCTTAATTTTTCTACTGGGCATATCAAAATGTGTCTCGGATAAAAGCTGCCCAGAACATGGACACATGAATTAGCATATGAGTATGATAATGATGAAAGCGAGTATAATGGATGTGAGGAGAACATTTAAGAGCATCAGAGGTCAGCAGATGTACTGTAATCCCCGAGAATAGGAACAAAATTAGGTGAGGGCAACATTGCTAACACTTCTTAACATGGCATTCTTATCATTCCTATTGTTTCACCTAACACTTGAGTGATCAAAACACTAACAGTGTCTTTACTCAAAAAAGGAGTGCTTATCACTGCTTGATAAACAGAACACTAGAAATGGAGAAAAACAAACACTTAAAGGAGAAGTTTAACCAAAATTACTTAATGACTATTTGTGGAGTAAAATTACCCTTCTGAGGAATGAAACACAAGCCCAATAAATGGACAAAGGCTTTATTTTATGGTAGTACATGGATGTTATATTATCTTGAGATTTCAGTACACAAGCTTTCCATACACAAGGTGAGGCTAAGTTAACCATATCTTATTTACACTTGGCAGCATCACACTGAGCAAACTCTCAAGTTCAGGTGAAGAGTCTGCAAAGGGTAATCAATTTTATTCTTGTCACCATCATTGTCATTTATTCTGTGTTATCTTCTGAGTTTATGGCATGAATCAATGAAGAAAATCAATTATTATAAAGAAGAATTATTTTATGATTTTGAAATAAACTTACACTAGAAGATGCTCTTTCCTAAGAAGTTTTATTATGAATATTATAAATAGAAGTCCCAAATGGGAGACTTTCGAGTAAATATAAAATAACTGATTTGAGTTGATTTGTTTGGATCACCTAATTAGTAACTATGGTTTTGAGCAATCAAAATATAATTTTTATCTGAATTTTAACTATCCTGAAGTAAAACTCATAAATAAGACACAGTTTAATTACTTTATCACATGTGAAAATAATTGCAAACTGGAAATTATATAAATTGTAAGACGTGCTAACGTTGAATCTCTCTGGAACTTACAAATGAGAATGCTTGCAAATATTTAAAGAGACAACTCAGCTTAGCAGACCATAATTAGGGGTGTTTTATGAAAGTCTGGAACTATTTAGATGATCCATGCTTTTGTTCTTTCCATGTGTTCATTCAGTGAGCAATGCAGTTCCCTTTACCACTTTGTATGAAGAATAAGGTAGAAAACACCCCTCACCCTGTTCTTTCCAGAAGTATGGTACATCCATCTACTTAGAACACCCGCAAATGAAATTCCTTGTCCTCATTTGGTCTTCATTGTGGGCAATTTATAAACATGTATATTTAAATACAATGCTCTTTTCTGTTGAAGAAAAACATATGAAACCCAGATGAAAGTCTAGTTAATGGGATAATGAATGAGAGGTTTAGTTTCATTACTTGTCTCATTATCTCTCCTTAGTGAAGTCATTTAATTACCCCTTGTGCCTTTCCACAAAAAGAGAACTCTCTTTACTGGCCCTGTAAAAAGTTCTAGCCATGTTAACTGGTCAGCGTAGGTCTAAACCTTGCATTCAGCATGATTCTGTCGAAACGAACATGGCCGCACCAGTCCTTTGCTGAGACTCATTTGGAAATGTGGGTCTGGCCTCGAGGCACGGACATCATTGGCTAGCTGCTGCAAGGACCTACCGAGGTTGCCGTTGTTTTATTTGGTCCCTAAAATTGTTTATCTTTTTTTCATTGAATCAACACTAAAATGTTGGTGGATTTCACATAAAATTCCACATTTCTATCTGCTGTTGGAATCTGGCCACACTAAGCTTTTATGCCTTCATGGGAGCAATCAGCTAGAAATAAATGTTCGTCGCCACCTTGGATAAGGTATATTTTCTAGTCTGTGACTGTCCTTATTGCTGTTTAGCACAGATGCTGTGCCCACCGCTACTGGTCAGGAAGCTTCTTGCTTCCTGTTTACCTTGTACCTCTTTAAAGAGGACAAATGAAAACCAGAGCAGGAGTGCTTTTTTCAAGACAAAATAATTTTTTCCCCAAAAAGTAGAGATATTGACACGTGTCTGATAGAGTTGGACAAATCATGTTTGTTTGTGTTAAAAGATAATAACTGCCCTGGCTGGGTGGCTCAGTTGGCTGGAGCATCATGCTGTGCACCAAGATGTTGCAGGTTCGATTTCTGGCCAGGGCACATACCCAGATTGTGGGTTTGATCCCGCTCTCTGTCTCTCCTTCTCTCTCCCTCTCCCCTACTCTCTCTCTCTCTCAAATCAATAAACATATTCTCGGGTGAGGAGAATAATTAAAAAGATTATACCCAACAGCTTTGCTCATATCACTTAACACTCAGATTCTATGAGTGAGGTTGAGTCCCAGGCTACAGCAGGTCCCAGCCTACCCTGCAGTTTGGCCTCAGGTGCCCCGTCAGTGGAATCTTTTCCTCAGAAGCCCTGGTCATGCTCCCTGTCCAGAACCGTTGGAGCCGTCCAGCAGTCCTTTTTCGGGTTTCATTTTGGCTTTCTGTCTGCCCCTTTGAACTTGATGCTCTAAATCTCTCCTCTCTTGGCCAGAATAGAGGCCCCTGTTTCTTACATCCTCTGCAACAAAATTAGATGCCGGATATAACTGAGTAATTCACTACTCTGTCAAATATCTACTATTTTTCAGCTTTGTTACAGGTCTGAAGGTGAAACAATGAACAAAATATATCCAGTTAATGTCAATGTACAGCTTACATTTCAGAGGGAGAAACAGAATAAAGATAAAAGCAGCGTTCTCTCTTGCATTGATGCTTCTCTCTCTCTCTCCCCCTCTCCAATCCTCCCTCTAAAATCAATATACATATATAAAGCAGCTAATATAATATACCGTGAGGTCAATCAGACTATGAAGCAAAATGAAGCAGGCTAAGGAGATAGTGGAAATGGAGAGGAGCTGTTTTGATATGTGTGATCACCTTTAAGGAAGAAACTTTCAGCTGAGAACTGAATGAGGTAACCGAACACCACGAACTTGCATGGAAGAGTATTTCAGATGGGAACAACAAGTGCCAAGATGCTGGAACGGAAGCACGCTCGAGGCTCAGGAAGAGCAGGAACTATTATGGGAGTGGTAGCTACAGGCCAGGCATACAGGGGCTTGCAGGGCATACTAAACTGCTGGGATTTTATTCTAAGATTAATAGAGGCCACGGGGTCTTTTCAGCAGTTTCAGAGGGAAACCGTCAGGTGTAATTTACCACATCCAATCCAAGCTCCACTTTCAGAGATCCCTCTTTTGGAAGAAGGGATCAGAGGGAATAAAATTCCTGCATATTAGAATTCTGATTGAATTTGATAATGATAGTCTAATTTATTTTAGCCACTAGCAGCATGCGATTATATCCATATGATTTTTTTCCCTAACAATACTGTATCTGGCAGAGAATAAGAAATAGAAAAGTAATGGATGAGGAAGGTGAAAAGTTATATACACAATGGCATCAGCTCCTCTCTGAACTCAATAGGGTGGGATAAGTGGACTTAGCCTCATTCAAATGATCAAGTTATACACCCTGTATATTCGTTTTCTACAACGAAAACTATATAGAACTCTAAATAGTTACAGTTTCCTCCTCGGTGGGCAGCAAATGTACTTAAAACAACTTGAGCTAAGAACGTTGAAAAGCAGAGGACTTTTGATCATTACTGAACTAAGTAGGTGTTTTATTAACTTGGTTTTTAAAAACAATATCTTTTAGTGCCCAGGAGGAGCATTTACACCCAATATGAGAACCACCAAGGAGTTCCCAGACGACGTGGTCACTTTTATTCGGAACCATCCTCTCATGTACAATTCCATCTACCCAATCCACAAAAGGCCTTTGATCGTGCGGATAGGCACTGACTACAAGTACACCAAGATAGCTGTGGATCGAGTGAATGCTGCTGATGGCAGATACCATGTCCTGTTTCTTGGAACAGGTAAGTATTCAAGTGCAATGTGTAGAAAGGGTACTAAAGTAGGTAAGGACTATGATATGGGGCCCCAAAAGTCCCCAGTGTTTACTTCTGTCTGACTATCAGTGAGACAGTTAGTCTTTATGCCTCAGTTTCTGCATCTGTAAATTGGAGTTGATAAAATAAATTATTTTATAGGGTTGTGTATAAATAGATTAATATATGTAAAGTACCTAGAATAATAGTTCCTGGCACATATTATGGTGAAATATAATAATGATCTGAATAAAAAGATGGAAAGAAATTTTAAGCATGGGTAAGTGGTTTCTCAACTAAAGCAAACTCTGTGACTTTTAAAAATAAATACATGGATCCATTCTTCCATGATAACAATAGATGTGTACTAGATAACATTTGAAAGTGAACTTAACTTTAAAACAAATAGTTTTTAAAAATAGCCCTGGCTGGCTTGGCTTAGCGGTTAGAGCATAAGTCTGCAGACGAATGAATTGCGGATTCGATTCCAGTCAAGGGCGCACACCTCGGTTGCAGATCGTCCCTGGCCCTGGTCACGTCAACCAGTCGATGTGTCTCTCCCTCCTTCCCGCTCTATCTGATGATAAATAGAAAAATATCCTTGGGTGAGGATTAAAAAAAATAGATAAAAAATATATTGGTGCTACTATTTTAATACATTCACAAATTATGGTTTGTCAATTTACTTCAATAAACAAGTTGAGGGAAAATGCGCTTGTTTCTAGACCTACATCTTGTTGAATGCCAGCCTTGTAGCAGTGGTTCTCAAAGTGTGGTCCCCAGAGCAGAGGAGCAAAATCAGTATCACCCAAGAACTTGTTAGAAATGCAAATTCTTCTGCTCCAACCAAGGAACTCTGGAGATCTGTGTTTTAGCAAGCCCTCCAGGGAAATCTAGTTTGCCTGTGAGACGGTAATTCACAATAGCTTTCTAATATCCCTGACTACCTTGTAGTCAGTGAGGACATCTCTTGACTTGTCCTGTTGCAATATTAGAAGTAGTCCATGAAATTAGGTAGTTCCTCTACTACTTTAAGAAATAGTTATGAGCCCTGGCCGGTTTGGCTCAGCAGTTAGAACGTCGGCCTGCGGTCCAGAGGGACCTGGGTTCGGTTCCCGCTAAGGGCACGTACCTCAGTTGCAGTTTGTCCCCGGCCCTGGTTGGTCGTGTGGGTGGCAGCCACTCGATGTGTCCCTTTCATGTCGATGTTTCTCTCTCTCTCTCTGTTCCTCTCTCTCCCTCCCACTCTACCTGAACAAAAAATGGAAAAATGTCCTCAGATGAGGAAAAAAAAAAAAAGAAATAGTTATGAAACGTGCCTGTAAACCTCATTATAAGATACATAGTGGTGGAATATGTATTCTGAGCTAAGGAATAAACTGCACTCAAACTTCAGTCAATTTAAGATGTGCGTATTTTTTTCTTGGCTAAATATAATTCTCAAAGAGTGCTTTTCTCATAAATGTTTTATTTTACTCTTGTTTATTCTTATATGTAAAACCTCAGCTATGAATCTTTTACTCTCATATAATTACAGTTTATACTGGTCCGAGGTTGAGAAGCTTCTGTCGTGTACCATTTGGCATCCTCCCCATACTTGAACATACCTGTGTTTTCACTAGTCTTCTCTTTGCTTGCCCCACACCCAAGGAATAATCCTTCCTTCCCAGGTTAACCATTTCTCACTCTGCTTTGAATTTTATCCCCTCTTGACATTTTCAGGACCATTCTTATCAATTATATTTTTATTCCCTTTGTCTCACATTTGATTCTCCACTTAATTCTTGTCTTCGAAACTTGATGCCAGGATATAAAACTAGACATAAACCTCACCCATTGCCACCTCTACTATACTGCTGGTTTTGCTAAATTCTTCAATACTCCCATAGTAAGAAAATCCAGTGGCCTTAACTATTGACATGCCTCCATCTCCTCTTTGCTTCATCTGGCAATATAGACTCTCTCTTTACCTGTTCCTTTATCCACAAGTCACAAAGACCCTTTTTCTCTGGAAATCCCTTCTCAATTTCCTTCATTAGCCTGCATTTCTCCTGCCCATGAGTGTGGATATACCTTGAGGCTCTGTCTATGCCCTCTTCTTTTTACATATTCTTTGTCCATCTTATTCATTCATGTTTCATTTGTTCTGTGCAAACAAATCCCAAATGTATATCTCTAGTCATTGCTATTTCTTGGCTCAATATTTGCATTTACAATTTACTGTTAGATGACACAGACTGAATGATCTGTTCACGTTTTAGACATCATGCTTCAAACTCAATTTGTTCACTTCTAAGACCCTCGAACCAATGCTTAATCCACTTGTCTATATTTGTATTCTTGTTGCACATTCCTCTCAAGGTTCTATTTATCCTTGATACACATTTTCTATCTGGCATTTCACAGTACCTGGTAAGCTCAATAAATATTTGTCAAGATGAATTGAAAATCAAAATTCTGCTGATTGCTAGGACTCGAGTAATTAAATAAATTCATAACTGACTTCAAAAGCTAATTCCATTTGCATATAAGTTGTGTTATTTAAAACTGTAGCCTCTAAACAACTACAAAGAGATGCTTTTAGCCTTGGCTCAGATCACTCAATGTGGAGTTTGTATTTGAAAAAAAAAAAAATTTTTCTTGAAGTGACATGGTAATTTTAGTCACACCTCTCCCTAATGACTCAGAAAAAAATAACTGTTTTCTTGTTTCCCTTTTGAAACCTGTCTTAATGGGGACTCTGATGTTGTAACTGGGCTGTTTTTTCATGAAACCCTACATGAATGTAAATTTCATGGAAGGAATTTGCAAGTCTTTATACGCTGTGCAGCAATGTTCACTCAGACAAAGGCAGTAAGAAACATGCTTTTACACAAGTCCTTCGCTTTTCTTACCACAGAGGTCTCTGGCATCTTTACACTGGTATTTAAACGTTTGTGTCATTTTGAAAAGCAGTATTTAGGAATATGTTTTTAATGTTAGTGGGAAACTTCCTAATGGTTGCTTACAAAGGCGTATGAGTCTCTCGAAGACCAGTCTAACAGTAAAGAGCATGCCATGGCAGTTCTTCTCCCAACAGCGTCTTTCTAAAGAGATCGTGACTCATGCAGTCACTGAGCCTGTCCTCATGGTCATATCAAAGCACACTACAGTGATGTCAATTTACCTGAAATTCTACTAACCAATCTAGCAACATAAAATAATGCTACCCAAGTAGTTATTGGATTGCTGGTGAAATTGCTTTAAAGAGAATTCTCAGTGCTTGTTTGCTACTAAAAGTAAATAAAATGCTGAACTGGAACCTGGGAGAAGCGCAGGTCATGATTCCCAGGATATCTCAGCTTTGCGTAACTAAATGACTTAGGAAGGATATAATATTTCTTGGGCATTGCCAAATCCCCAAATAATAAAGAGTGCTTCCGCTGTTATAAATAAATAATGATGCTTCATGCACGGCCAGTGTGGCTTAGTAAATTGAGAATTGTCCCATGGACTGAGAGGTCCCAGTTCAATTCTCAGTCAGGGCACATGCCCAGGTTGCGGGCTCAATCCCCAGTGGAGGGTGTGCAGGAGGCAGCCGATCAATGTTTCTCTCTCACATCAGTGTTTCTATCTCTTTCCCTTCTTCTGTCTTTCTAAAAATCCAATTAAAAAACACCGTATTTGCCCTGGCCGGTTTGGCTCAGCGGTTGGATCGTCCGCCTGCGGTCCGGAGAGACCCGGGTTCGGTTCCCGCTAAGGGCATGTACCTCGGTTGCAGTTTGTCCCCGGCCCTGGTTGGTCGAGCGGGTGGCAGCCACTCGATGTGTCTCTTTCACATCCATGTTTCCCTCTCTCTCTCTTCCTCTCTCTCCCTCCCACTCTGTCTGTACAAAAAATGGAAAAATGTCCTCGGGTGAGGAAAAAAAAAAAACATACCGTATTTAAATAATGTACTACAATTATTGCCATAATAATGCAAGTTGCTCTCATGGCTTCTGTACCATCATGGAAAAATCAGGGGATTCAATGAAGACAAAAGTCAAAGATGCCATAGGAAAAATTTATTTAATCGTGTACTGAAATGCAGATATGATATTGTGTAACTGTATTCACTTTGAATGTTATGAATGATTCTATAGCCCACAGAGACTCCATGGTAGTTGTGTAGGCTTAATGCCATTAACTGTTACAGTGAGCCCATTACAGTGTACAATGTACTCTGGCTGAGTTTCAGAGGCTGGTAATCTGGCCTTCCACTTTCATGGCACTGCCTCATTATATTTTGTGTGCTGTCAGATGCCAAGATAGATACATACATACATACATACATACATGCATACATAAATACATAGAGAAATAAAATAGGAAGGAAGGGAGGGAGGGAGGGAGGGAGGGAGGATGAGCTTTGTCTTCTCATTTTTTAATTTTTAAAGTTTGTATCATCAATGTCTAGTCTAGGGGTCAACAAAAGACAACCCGAACCAAATGTAGCCCCAGGTCTTGTTATCCATACACTAAGAATGCTATTTCATATATTTTTTAAATGAGATTTACTCTTTTCTTTTTAATTGCTTTTTAGAGAGAGGGGAAGGGAGAGGGAGAGACATATAGAAACACTGATGAGAGAGAACATCTATTGGCCACTTCCTGCATGCCCTCCACTGGCGATCGGGCCCATAATCTGGTTATGTGCCCTAACCAGGAATCGAACAGGCGAACTCTTGGTTAATGGGTGGATGCCCAACAACTGAGCTACACCAGCCAGGCATTATTTCATATTTTTAAGCGATTAAAATAAATAACAAGAAGAATATTTTATGAGCAGTGAAAATTATATGATTTTTTATTTCAGTGTCCATAAATAAATCTTTATTAGAACAGCCACATCCATCCACTTTTGTCTGCTTTTGTACTATAATGTCAAAGCTGAGTAGTTGCCATTGAGACTACTTAGCCTGAAAAGCATGAAACATTATTGTTTGGCCTTTTATAGCCTTTTATAGAGG